AATAATGATGTCGTCTCATTGGTGTAAAAGATTTTTCATGATTTTTATAATTTTTGTGATTTGTAATGTTAAAACTCACACGAATTATTTCATTACATAGATATAATAAAATTTTACATCAATATTTTTTAATAATTGTTCTATAATAATGTGGTATAATAACATTTTCTACTATTCTTTTATATTTATATTAATATCTATATTGTTCGTTAATGATTATTACTCAATAATGTTTAATGATATCAATTACTCTTTACTTAAATTAAACGCATAATAAAGCCTTAAATCTGCGCTAAAATATTAACTGTTCAGTTCTGGATTAGTATTATTTGAGAAGATCTCTCGTTTGGAGTTTCTTATATTTTTCAGGTCCATATTTAACAGCTTTGTTAAGTACTTTATGCATTATGTTATTCAGAAGCTCTCGTATTAATCGTAATTTCATGGCATAGAGAAACAGGAAGCTGAAATTATGGAAAAACCTTATTACTCGTGTTATTATTACAAAAATAAATTTCTGACAAATATTAGAGGATGCATATGCATATGCATATTTATTATTTACGTCATGCTTCATACTCACCGATAAAACATTAGATGCAATCGTTCGGAGAACGTGAGCGAGCTTTGTAAATGTGGCATATCGATGTTCAATAAATTGGTGACAAACAATAATAACGTTTTGAATGAGCTACCGCCAATATGAAATGTTAAACTTTCCGTAACACATCTCATCATATGTTCCCACTCGGGCGTTACTTGTCGCAAGTATGATTTTATCCAAAGTTCAACAAAATCGTGCGATCTTTGCTTAATTTCTTCCAGATTATCACGGCAGAAGTTGTATCTAGAACATTCATCTGCATTAAATACAAGAATTTTGCAGAATGAGACAGAGATGATAAGTGATACTGATGGGGGGATACTGATGAAGAAACGCAGACAAATGAATATTAAGATATAAATAAATTATTTACAAAGAAGAAATAAATTTATTATAAAGAAATATTTTAAAACTAGACAAATAAGAATTTAAATGTTGTTCTTGTTGTCAAATTCTTATTGACGTAAATGGCGGTTTATTATTAATACTGGATTAATTTCAAAATGGCAGCGATACTCACTGGTCCTCGATACCAAGAAGATATCCTATGCCCCTCCATGTGTGACAAAAAGCTGCCATATCATTGTCACTAACATGAATGCCGAATTCCCGCGGGTATAACAGGATCATTCCTATAAACGCGAATTGCGTGGCTCCCATATCAGCCTGATTTAATCCTTTAGGTTTAACCAATAGATGAAGACAACCATTTTCCACGGTCGGGTATGAGCAGGAAGAAAAATCTTTTAAAATTCTTTCTCTGTCCGGACATCATGGATGCGGAATTTTGGTGACCATATCGATCTTTTTGCTGTCGAGTTCGCAGAGTCTTGCTCGCATCGCACGGTGCATTTTACGCACAATTTGGATATCTTTGTGAGCTTCTGTGCCAACTGTCCAAGGATCTCCCAACAGCCAATTTTGTACACGACAAGTCGTAGACAAATATCTTCAATATAATAAATAAAATTTTATTGATGAAAATTCAGCTTGCAGTAAAGAAATGCGATGCAAACGAAACATGTAAATTTGTTCTTAAAGTGAATAAACTAAATTGTTTTTTTAAACATAATTTTCTTGAAACAGTAGAAGTAATCAAATCATCGTAGATGGCATTATAACAGAGCGGCGAACAGAGTTTTTAGCGTCGAATAATTTTTCTTCGTTGAATTAATATATAAATGCAAGGCAAATGTTTATATCGCTTATAATTTTCTCTCTTTAAGAAATTTTGACGAGCTCGTCACTTACCTTTTAAATGCTAAATGCGGTGTGTGAGATCGCTGACTGAGGATTATTGGTTTAAGACCATCTGCAAAAGCGAATATGTTGAAAAGCGATAATATGTTAGCGAAAAGAATCGTGAAGAAGTGATCGCGCACGAATTGTTGTCCTCTCTGGAACTTGTCCATGTCCAACCAAAGCGGTTTGTCCGTCGAGTTTCGTCCGCAATCTCCGCGGTGCAAGGCGGCCGGTATGAAAAACAATAAGGAATATGGTATGCCTGGGATATAAGTTTTCACGTTACTTATTATGTTCGTATTGCTCTTTGTTCGTCCATTTGTCATAATCCTTCGGTTTTGCGGGATTTCGGTCGATAATATGTTTCGTGCTTTCCAGAAAATGTTCAATGTATTCAACGGTGTTCTTTGCTTCTAAGAGTTCGTAATATTTCCTTTTGTTTGCGTGTTCTGTAAATTCTTCGATGCCATCGTTGCTTTTATTTTTTGGACTTAAGTTGACTTTCTTCATATTATACATATCACAATATATTACACGATGCGGCTTGTTACTTATAATTTTTGCTTGTATCTGCTTGTATCTGTCTAATAATTAACAAATTCAGACTTCTGTGTCATTTTCGTTGTCTAGTCATCTTTACCAATTTATCTGTTGGTCGAACTGTGTTATAACATAAAATGTGTTATAACATAAATTGTCGTATACAAAATAACAAGAAAAGTATTAAATCGTGTATTTGTTACTACTATAGTACTGTGGCGGTCACCGCCACTCTGGCCCAGCAACGAGCGCGCCGGCGCGCGCCGCCGCGCTGCCACGCGCCACACGTGGGCCCGCGCACGGGAGTGACTCACGCGCTCGCCACGAGATGGCCAACCGGTCAATCATCTACTCGTGCGCGGAAAGCAGTGGGGCCCGCCCGCGCACGAGAGTGATTCACGCGCTCTTTCTTTGTACTTTAAAAATATAAAATGTACTTTTGAGATTTTGAGATTTTTGAGATTTTTGAGATTTGCCTTATTCTGGGAACCAGCACGAAAACCTTCCTTTCCCCGTCGCCCATTCCGCTTTGCACGTACGAGAGCAGACAGCGAGCTGGTTGCGCCGGAACTGAATCAGAGGCTCAACGATTACATTGGTGGACACACGAACCACCACATTGGTGTACACAAAGTACAAACACCATAGTACTATAGTGTACGTAGAGAAATCTAATAATTCATAAAGGTGTACTGATACTTTTTAAAATATATGAGTATAAATATATATTATATCTTAAACAATACGGAAATGTTACATCGCTGTAAACTGCGTATTGTGGCTTCTATGTAAGTTAACTTCATTCACTTACTTTTTATTTAGATATGCTCCGCTACAAGTGCTATATATACACTTGACTTGAAAAAAAAGGGATATATAAAAGAATGGAGGAAAACAAAAAAGTAATGCTAATAATGCTAATATATGTAAAATGTAATGCTAATAATGCTAATATATGTAAAATATGTCATAAGCATTTTATAATATAAATTAATTTTTGCAAATAAATAAAAATAAAGTCTAAATGAGTGATGATTATTTAATCAGCGAGTTTGATATAAATCAAAGTACTTTTATTATTACAAGAATTTTACGAAAATTTCATAAAGTCACTAAAAATTTATATAGTATTATTTAAATGCTAAATGCATCGATTGCGTATTTTAGTACATCAAAATTCATAATTGTCATATGTCAAAAATTTGATGTGACACTTAATCTTATTTCAGGATCAATAAAAAACATAAAATATAAAACAACTTTTTCTGAATCCTATTTATCTTATGCGTCTTATCTACATCTTATACACCGTCTGTTAAATTGTTAAATTATTTAATTATATATTCTGCAACAAAAACAAGAAATTTTTCTTTTTTGCTAAAACTTAGCTTGTAAAACATGAATGATAAATGTTACAAATAGTATTATCATAAAAATCTTTTATGATTAGTAAGATAAATTTTAGTAATCTTTATTATTTATTATTAAAAACTGTGATTGAAAAATTTCATAATCCGATATGATGCATCATTCTCATCTTTTACATCGATACTCGTCGGTGTTATCGAGCAACAAGAAAATAGCTCGTATAATAGATGGTTGATACAATAGGATATAATGGGAACCTATATAATACGATAGGCGCAGGCGAGTTGTTATTTATGTATGGGAAACCCTCGTTCTGCAGAACGTGGAATCAAGTCTTGAATTAGACATTTCCTTAGTTTTCGATTGTATTTGTTGCGAAGGAAATACTGGCGCGTTAGAAAGTCGGACAGAAATTTCGAGAAAAAGAGAATTATTTTCTCATTATTTTATATTGGAAGATATTTTTATCGAGCATATTGTGCGATTCAGCGTGAAGCAGCGTAAAGACTGCAATTAGAATTGAATGTAGTATGCTTTCATTTACTTTCACATTGTCAAACATTATTAATATTATTATATAATGTAATATAATGTATTTCAGCATATTTGCAATCTTGGAAAAGACTTGGTTTATATGATAATTAAATTATTATCCTTATCCCACACGTCCATCCATATCTTATCCTACCTGCGTTAAAAAAGAAAAACTCCTATCCTATCTATTCATATTGCATTTTAATATAGTCCTTAAATTGTTACAATTATCACATTTTCTTTTCCTTCTTATATAACTTGTATCTCTTTTACATTATACCTTACAGTTTCTTATCGCTTTTCTAAATTTTTTATTTGTGTACCTATGTCGTCCCATACCGTATCATCTCCTTGATTCCTACTTCTTTTCTTTGCTTCTTTTTGTTTCCATAACTTTTTTAGAATGTCCCTTTTTTCCTCATCTAATTCATCATTCTATAATTTCTTGTACTTTTCTCTATTATTTTTTCCTATCGTATATCGAATCAAGCTTTTTACCTCTACGCATTTTTCTATATAATGTTTTATACTAGCCCATTTTCATAAAACATACATATTTTATTCTTTTTCTCTAACCAATATTTATTATTTTCTTCCATGTTTTTCTATATCTCTACATATCATCCCTTAATCTTCCTTTATATCATTTTGCACTATGAAATATTCAATTGAAAATCAATCTTATTATTCGTAAATTTAAATTTTTCCAAAATTAATATTTTTAATATACATAAACAAATATAACAATCGGATATCAACGACAGAAAATGTATCAAAGAAAATATATCAGATTACAGAATATGATGACACGAATGGACAAAAATATATCGTTTGATATCGATTGATCGGCTAAAATGGGCTAAACGAATTTCGATAAAAAAGAATTCTGCTACAAATGTGGCAGGACCTCGACTACTATTATGTATCTAGTAGTCTGCCCACGTAGTGGTCTCCCTACAAAAATTCGAATGTTCGCGTGCTCGTTCGGCAGCTAAAGCCCTAAAGGCCAGAGAAGGACAAGAGGAGCCACGTGACCGGGCGCGTGTTCAACAGTAACAGCTGCACCGATGCACTCCTCTCAATTCACGTCGAACCTCCATCGAGATAGCATTGCGACGGTCAACCAAAGCTTTGATCGTGCGGAAATATTTTATATCGAATACCGAGTGCCGTAAAATCCATTTTAATTACATCTAATTAATTCAAACATCTTAAATTATATCGCTTTTTATCTCTAAATTGTGACTAGAGCGAAAAACATTATCTTTATTTGAATACTGATCGCGAAAGAAGTTATGAACATAACATAATTTTCGAGAAAAAAAGAAGTGGAAGTTTCTGATTAAAGTGCAAAATCGAAGCATTGAAAAGAAAAAAAGAATACAAAAAAATAATGGATAATCGCAAGAAATTAATCTTAAATCGATTTACAATGTTGATGCTTGTCATCGTATACACGTTGGCTGTAATTATTAAGGTAGGTGTATGCATTTTTTTACATAGTTTTTACGTTTTTAGATGTTTGCCTTGGAAAGGATTTTAAAAAAACATAAGATGTATGTAAATGCATGTATATGTAAATTAATGTAATAACAAAAACTCTTGAAATATACGTAAATAAATGTAACTAAAGAAAGACGTATTGGCTATGCAATATTAACGAAAGTTTATCGAAATTCGAAAAATATATATTTCTTATATTTATGCTGTTTGAAATAAAATTTATAAAAGATTATGAAGAAGTTAAACAATAAAAAAAAATAACACGACTTTTAACATTTTTCTAAAAGAAAATATTTGTAATTAATATTTTTTCTAATAAATGATTGAAAACTTTGTTTCACTTTTAATTATGAAAATTTATTGTAAGGAATCTTTCTCTATAAAAGAAATCAATGCAAATTTATAAATCGAATAATTTCTAAATAAAGAAGAGAATTGTGCTCAACTTTAAACAAGTACGTAGAGAAGAAGGTCTAATGGCTATTTGTTTTTTATCTTTACTTTGATATCTTTTGGAATCCCTGCCTCATGCGTCTTCGAATATGATTAATATAATACCGAGTGGTGCGGAAAGATTTGTGTTAAATGAAATGTGCGTTTAATTATCGACTGGAGAGCATGAATGCAAAGAAATCAAGCAGTTAAGATCAAATGATTGTGAGAAAACATAGAATTTCGATAAATTTCACAATAATTATTGCTACGTGATTTACTTGTTAAAATATCACCGGCAGATAAAATCAGTTCTCACATATGTGAAGTGCGATGTAAGATGCAAATGTAGATGGGTGATGAAGAAGAAGGGAAGAATAGAGAGAGAGAGAGAGAGAGAGAGAGAGAGAG